GAACTCCACCGTCTTTTCAGACCTAAGTGAGGCTACTCAGTAGTGGTGGTGTCCTGACCGGCTGCTGCTCCTAGGTACTTCTTGTCGCATATCTTCCTCCGAGATGTCTTCATGGCCTACAAGATCGCTGCTCTTTCGCGACAGTTCAGTGAAGGGGATACTGTCCTCGCGGTCGTCGGCGGGGTGGGTGCCCTTCCGTCACTCGAGTTATGTCAATGGTTCAGGTCCACGTTGAAGGCATCCGAGCCTTGCTTACTCAAGATGAACCTCCTTGTGACATCCATGCGCTTGCGTGCTGCTTTGTGGATGCCGAGGTGAACAGGACGTTGTTGCGACCAACTTGGGCCTAGTGGGATTGAATCGTCCTCCTGCTCACTTAATCACCCACAAGAGGCCTTTTGTTATCATAAGAGTGTCCGAGACTGTGTAGGTACTGAGGAGGGTGTGGATGGATATATTCGAGATTGATCTCACAGCGGCAGCTAGTCGTGGTGGGATGTTCGACAGGCGCCTCACTGTCAGTCCAACCCCACTTAATGTTGGATGACAGTTTCTGGTGGCAGGTACCGAGTTCGGATGAAGTAGATGAAATTCGTGATGAATTGTTGAAGAGAATATTCGTCCAAGGACAAGTGCAGGAGTGGGACGATGCTGGTCAATGCTGGAAAGTTATTAATGTGGAAGCGGCCTGTGGAGAGGCGGCAGGAGACGATCAGGAGGCGGATGACCATTCCGCCAGAGATCGGATCCACTACGGCGAGTTGCTGCTGGAAGGGAGGATTAACCCGTATCCAATCGGCATTACTGAGGTGTGTGGCTGCGTGCATGGCTGTTGCCGCAAGAGAGCTGCGCCCCGTTATTCGATCGAATTAGGCCCAATCTACTCAAACCGATGCCAAAACGGTTTCCCAGTCAGTCGGGCAGGACATCCCACCATCGAAGAGACAGAGAGTGTGTGGTGGTGGTGACGCCGGTGGTACTTGAATGATATCATGTCGGTTAGTGACCTCAATTCAATGCTGCAAGTTTCAAGGGCTCTGTGTGGTTGTTGAGTGACTTGGCTGTTTTTATAGCTAATTTCTGGTCCAGTCTGTGGTAAGATTGCGCATTCTACGGGGCTCAGTTCGTGTGTGTTATAGCATTGACTGCTCTCCTTGGTAGATCTCAGTGCTAGGCATATGTTGGAGCCTCTCGTCACGTCTTCTAGGGATGATGTGGCCATGGTGTGGTATGTGGGTGATTTTCAGGCTTTATTAAAATCCTCCGTATCAATGGCAAGGACCAAGCAGACTGCACGCAAGTCCACAGGTGGCAAGGCGCCTCGTAAGCAGTTAGCCTCCAAGGCCGCTAGAAAGTCCACCCCTAGCACTGGTGGTATCAAGAAGCCCCATCGCTACAGACCTGGCACTGTGGCTCTTAGGGAGATCAGACGCTATCAGAAGAGCACTGATTTACTCATCCGCAAGTTGCCCTTCCAGCGCCTTGTTAGAGAGGTGGCCCAAGACTTCAAGACCGACTTGAGGTTTCAGACCAGTGCTGTGATGGCCCTACAAGAGGCGGCTGAGGCCTATCTGGTGGGCCTCTTCGAGGACACCAACCTGTGTGCTATTCATGCTAAGCGTGTTACCATCATGCCCAAGGACATGCAGTTGGCCAGAAGAATTCGGGGCGAGCGCTCGTAGACCTGTCCGGTGAGAGACGATTCGATGGTGACTAGTTGTGAGTACCCAAGGGCCCTAGGGGGCATAGTATTGTACCTTTTGTTTTTCATAATGCTACATCTATTTAACGAAGTGTTGTAAGAGTACTCTTCTCGTGGTGCGTTTGAAGTCCCTTACTACGTGAGGCTAAGAGGGACAGTGTACCATCGACATATTGAGTATCATGCGGCAGCAGATTAGAATATCGATGATGAAGTTATTGATAAAACTTTTATAGAACCATGTCAGACTGTTGTGTAGTTATCGATATGGGGAAGTGGGTATAAAAGAACAGAATTCAGTTTTGCACGCATGCACACTAGTAGAGAGGAAGAGCTTGCCGCCACACTCAACCAGCAACGAATTAGGTCCTCAGATGATGCTGATACCCCTTCATCTAACCAACTGACTAACACAAGACTATAAGGAGTTGATACGACAAATCGTTGAAGTGATGGTGGTAGGAGCAGCAGCAGCAGCAGGTTGCCTCATTGAGGCTCTATGGATAATAATGCAAAGACTACTTCATGTTGTTCTTGGCTTGCCATTGACTATACCAGTTTACATTGGGTAATACTAGAGGTAAATATGGAAATATGATAATGATACTATCAAAAAGCATTATGACATACTATCATCTGCATAGGGGAGTACATGCGGCATTTACGACCTGCCCGATCTACCGCCTCCCCTCTTGACGGGGGATTTCTTCTTCCTGGCAGCAGCAGGGCTCTTCTTTCCAGAGGTCTTCTTAGCTACAGTCTTCTTCGTTGGGGGTGCCTTCTTCCCTTTGGTGGAGGTCTTCTTGGGTGATGCCTTCTTAGTGGTGGCAGCAGAAGCCTTAGCACCGGCCTTTTTCTTAGCGGGAGAGGACGCCTTCTTGGGAGGGGCCTTGCTAGGCTTCGAAGGCGCCCTAGTGGGCTTGCTTGGAGCAGTCACCGTTGGCCTTTGACCAGCCGCCAACTTGTAAGATGCCTTCGCCTGGGACACGGTACCGGTCTCCACAAGGGCCTTGAGGGACTTATTCAGCGCGGTTCTGTTGTCAACACCGTAATTGGACTTGATGAAAGCGGCGACGGCTTGGCGGCTCATCTTCTGAAATCCCCTACAAGTCGAAAGGGCGTTCCTTACCATCTCGTTGTAGGTTGGATGAGGGTTGGGTACCTTTTTCGGGGATGCTCTTACCATTGCTCGCTGAGGGGACAAGAATCACTACAGGACAATATGAATCCACGACATCTAGGCTCAGTAAAGCCGTCAGGAAGAGTACCAGAATGTGTTGAAATTTGCACGTCACTCAGTGCGCACACGTGTGGAACCCAATAGGAAGTAGCCGCCATACCCCAACGAGGAGCCATTAGCATGCACACCTCCCCATATGAGGAGTCAGCGCTCATGGTCTATTGCCTAAGAGGACCTCTTCCCATTTCCCGTTATCAGAACTCAACACAAGAGGTATGCGAAGGTACAGAAAGAATTAACACGCATGCGCTAGCACGAGCTACCGATTCATAACCGGTCGCTTCCCAATCTCGTAAGGCTCACATACCACCTTAAGCGATAAAGACAGGGAGTACCTCCCGCCCTCCAAAACTTCAAGGTCGACTCCTAGCCCTTGCCACGACAATCATATCGGGTGGAAAATATGCGCTGCTGGGGCACGTTCCTCGGCCCACAGGGACTCGGGCAGCCAAGGGGCTACCATGAAGACTTCTTGATGGGCATCTTATTAGGATCCGGTGGATGCAAACTCGCAGCCTAGATGCACCTATACCTGAATCAGACTAATGAAGATCAAACAGAAGGATGTGAAATAGCCCAGCCTTCTTGTTTTTGCGTGCGGCCAATTTGTCTCTCCGGGTGCCCCATGATACAGGTAGCTCTCCACTGAGGCGGATGGTAGTGATATATTTCCATAAGTAGATTTCCAAAATTTCGTGAACAAGTTTAAACCCTTGACGAAGGATAAGCTGAAACTTCGTAGGCCTATCAGTTACACCACGACGATCAAATCTGTCGATTATGATATTTTACTTGTTCGTCCACGAAGCATAGTTATTGGAGGCCCCACCACGTCGTTACGGGTGAAAGTTCGCCAATACGAACCCCTCTGATTTAACGCTCGTTTCGGTGATGTTCAAAAAATGGGCTGAAAATTCATCTCATGCCGATGGGGGCCTCGGGAGGTGGCCAATCTGACAAAAGGAAATTTAGTCCTCCACGGCCGTTCTCACGAGGTCGACCCTCTCGGCGATCACGTTCCGAAGGGGGAAACTGGGATCTCACAGTTGGTGCACTTAGTTTAGTTTTAGAGTGTATGTTCGCTATCCTCAGCTGAGCTTAAAAGTTTTCTCACTAACTGTACAAGTTCACGTACGAATTCGGGCTACAGGAATCAATAAGAATTGCCGAAACCCCCCCCCCCCCCATCATTTCCATACCATCACCAACATATGTAGATGATGCCATATGCGTATTCTCCCACTTAATCTCAGTGACGTGAGCAGTAACAAGTCGGCGTTGCAGTTCCATGGGGTCAGTATTTAACGATAGACAGAATCTTATGGGAGCAATAGCTGACCAATAGCATCCACCAGGCATAGACGAATCGAACCAACGTAGTTCCGGATGCGACTCAGCCCGCGCGGACGCTAAATTTTAGTCGATAATTTGCAGCATCGAATTCCAGTGTGAAGGAGAGCAGCCTCTGAGAGGGATATCGCTCCAATATCCAACAACCCCTCCTCCTACTGCCCAACACAGGCCATCAATCGGAGCCACGCGGGCACGGGGAGGTCTCGCAAGACGTCCGCCTCAATTGAGCATGGAATGGAGAGTGATGGCCCAGCTGGTCCTACCAAGATATACCTCCGGCTAGGAAGTTATCGGGAACAACGCATGATTAGTACGGTCCGGAGGAGGTCGTTGAGGAAACGTAAGAGGCAACAAGTAGGCAAGATATGAGCACTGCTCAGCTTATTTTATGATGATGATAAGGAAGGTCTTTCATCTGCTCCCTACTCAGCTATTATACATTTGTATGATAATCGCATGTCGGATATCGGTCGAAGCGAGTCTGGTGGCTCCGATCAAGGCACGGGAATGTTGAGAGGGTAGTACAGGCTTAGTGAGGGAGGGGGAGATTACCATTGGATCACGCTGAGGTTGTTGTGATGGAGGATAGCGGGAGAAGGTCGGCGGCTGAGTGAATGAAGTCGCTGATGCAGGATCGATGAGGTTCCAAAAAGGGATGACGTTATGGAGAGGTAGTAGTGCTACACTACTAACCAATGGTTATGGGATGGTCGTGGGTC